CCTATCCTTGTCTCTCTTAGGTCCCTGGGTCACGCAAATGGTTTGTGCTTGGCTACTAACCAAAAGGTTGGCAGTTCAGACTCACCCAGTGATGTTGTGGAAAAAAGGCCTAGCCATCTACTTCAGTAAGATCGCTATTGTTGTTGTTATTGGGTGCTGTAGGGCCATTCCGACTCATAGTGATGGCATGTAACAAAGTAGAACTGTCCGATAGGATTTTTTTTTTTTTTGGCTGCAGTCTTTCTGGAAGCAGATCCTAGGTCCTTTCTCCTGAGGAGCCTCTGGGCGGGCTCAAAAGCCAACTTTTCGGTTACCAGCCGAGCGCTTCACCATTGCACCACCAGGGCTCCTTTCTCCATAAGATTGTAGTCATTGAAAACCCTGTGGACTTCAGTTCTCTGATAAACATGGGGTTGCCATGAATGAGAATCGGCTCCTTGGCAACAGATTGTCTCCCATCCAGTCAGAGGGGTATTCTTCTTTCTGTCTCAAGCCAATGTCTCCACCTGTGTTTTAGATTTACCTCTTCACGTTGTCTTATGTCTCTTACGACATGAGTTACCCCTTTTTGCTCATATTTTCAACCTCTGTCCTTTTAAAATGCACGCAGGTCTTTCCCGTTAAAAACAAGCAAATGATCAATACCCTCATTTGATCCCTTACCCACTCCTTCCTCCATTCTATCTCTTGTCTCTCCTTCACAGCCAAGCTTCTTGAAAAACTCGTTTATCCTTCCTGCCTCTTCGCCTCCCATCAGACTCTCAGACCCGTCACTGCATCAAGTGATCAGCAGATACTCTAGTTCTCAGCTTACTTGACCTTTCAACAGCTGTTAATATTTCTTCCTTTTGGAAAGACTGTCTTCCCTGTGACTTCCATGACACAACTCTGTCCTTATATTCCGTTTATCCTCACCTGCTTCCACCTGGCTGTTACATGGTGAAGGAGTGTGTCAGTACTCACATCTTTTCTTTCTGTGTACTCTACCCCAGCAGCGCATCACCTCTCCTCCCCTCCCCTCCCCACGGACTGAGGGTGCTGGTGACTTCTCAGTGTGAGTTCTCCAGCCAGAACTTCTCCTCTGAGCTCCAGACGAGGGTGTCCAGCTCACTCATTTCCAAGTCATCTCCTCCTTGGTGATCCTACTGTTTATTATTATTATTAGTTGTTGTTAAGTTGGCTCTGATACATGTACAACAGGATGAAACACTGCCCAGTCCCCTGCTGTCTTCATGATAGTTGATAAATTTGCTCATCTTCCAGAACTATATTGGACAGTGTTCTGTTGGGATCCATAGGGTTTTCATTGGCTAATTTTTGGAAGTAGATCACTAGGCCTTTCTTCCTAATCTGTCAGTCTGGAAGCTCTGCTGAAATCTGTCCACCATGAGTGACCTTGTCGGTATTTGAAATACCGGTGGTATAGCTTACAGCATCATAGCAACATGCAAGCCACCACAGTATGACAGACTGACAGTGGTGATCCAGATATACCTCAAAATCAATCAATGAGGCTAGAGCCCCTCAGTCCTAGCCCTTACTCCAGTGCTCCCTGCTAGAGTGAATGGCATCACTACCCCCCAGATGCCGACGGCAGAAATCACATGTCACGCTGGCATCATGTCCTCCCTCAGCCTCTATGTCCGGCCCATCAGTGAACCCCATTGGTTTTTATCTCTTAGGTATTTTGTGAGTCCACCCACTTCTCCCCCAACTCCGCTTTTGTCCTCTTTGTCCAACACGCTGTCATCTCCTGCCTGGATAATTGCAACAGACCAGCCTGCGTCCACTCTGGTCCCTTCTGATCTATTCTCACACTGCCAGAAAAATCTTCATGAAATGCAAATCTGGCCATGTCAGCCCCGTGCTTCAGATCCTTTCCATTGCTCTTAGGGTAAGGACAAAGCCCCGTCCGCACCTTGCTCTGCAGTCATGCTGGCCTTTTTCACCTGAGGTGTCTGGACGAGGGTTATTACTGCGTCCCTTAATACGTCCTTCTCACCTCCCTTTCGCTTTATATCTTACCACATTGTCAGTATTTTCTGGGCGCTTCCCCCCATCTCCAACCCCCCACTGTCTCCGGCCCTTCTCTGTCCCAGACCCTCGGAGCACTCTGGGACCCTGGTGTGATTCGTTTGTCTCGCGTACTTGTTAAGTTTGTAAGAAAAAGTTTTGGTTCCTGTCCGTCTTCCTTGGTCAACTGTAAACTCCGTGAAGCAGGGACCACGATTGTTTTTGTTGTCATGAGGCTCCCAGAGCCTAGCATGGTGCCTCACACGGTAGGGCCCCAGGAATGTTTTGTCAAAAGAATAAATGAACTTGAAGAGCAGCGTTTGAATTCCAGCTTTGGGCAGCTATTCTCTGAATCTCAATTTTTATGTCTGTCAAATATCTGTCTTAGAGGATTGTTGGGGGAAAAGGAATAAGTGCTGTTATTGATGATTATTCTCTCCCACTTAAAGGTTGAGGCTAGGAGCATAACAGGTCATCTTAAGTCAACTAAAGCTACTATTTTTTCTCTTCTAGAAGAGTGGTAGGGAATGGGGAATATAGGAATGAGAATTGTATTATAAAATCTTACTTGAAAACTGCGAGGAACACTTGAACAAGTAGAAATTTAAAATTTTAGTTTTTTCTTTATGGGGATGATGACTGCTCATTTAAGGTAACCTGGATAATGTGGAAGGCAGACAAAAAGAGAGGAGCATCCTCCAACTTTCCAAATATATTTTCCTACATTCTTAAATATTCATCAAGAACATAATTTTTAATGCCTGCATGCCATTCTGCCATATAGATTAATACTCTTTTATTTAACCATTCCTTGTTGTCATTTAGGTTATTGTAAACTTTTTCACATATATATTAGATATACATTCCTTGTACATAAACCTTTGTGTGCATAAATGCATAATCTACAGAAGTGGAATTACTGGATTAACGAGTATTTATGGGAATACTTTCTAGCAATTTGATAATTATTCCTAATTAGTTTCCAGAAAAGTTGTATCAATTCATACATCCACCAGTAGGGTAAGACAATGCCCGTTTCCAAGCACCCTTGCCAGCCTTGGGTATTGTAAAATTCAAATACACATGTATGTATACAGGCAAATCTCGATGTAAATTCAATGGCTGAAAATGGTATTTCATTGTGTTAATTTGCATTTCTAGTGCAGATTTCTTCTGAACGTGAACATTTCCATCTTAGCCCTTGGCGTAGTTTCTTTATGAACTACCTGTTTGTGTTCTTTGCATAGTCTTCTATAGGGGTATTTTTCTTTTTCAAGTTTATTTATAAAACCCTTTTATATTTGACATACCACCCTTGCTTTGTCAAATATGCAAACGTGAGTTGCAGTAGAACCCTTTCAAATGATCACAGGTTCAAAACTAGAGTAGTTTAAAGAAAAGAAAATGTGAAATGGGAATCATTGTTGTGAGTTTCGTTGAGTTGATTCCAGTTCTTGGTGACCCCGTGAGTGCAGAGTAGAACTGTTCTGCAGGGTTTCCAGGCTGTGATCCTTCAGAAAGCAGATCGGCAGACCTGTCTTCTGAGGCGCCTCTGGGTGGGCTTAAACAGCCAGCCTTGTGGCTAGTGGTCAAGTCCTTAACTGTTTGCACCGCCCTGAGACTTCCAAAATGGAGATGGTATGGTTAATTTGCCCTATTAATGAGGACAGCTGGTTTCGCTTTTATTTGAAATTTTGCCACTCAAACTACATGCTAAGGGACATGAATGTAAGAAGAGTACGGGCTTTGAAGCTGGACAGACCTGATTTCAGACTAGCCGTTCCACTCTGTGGCTAAGGGACTTTGGACAAATTATTTAGCCTCTGAAAGACTCAGATTTCTCTCCTGGCTAACAAGAATCCCTCTGGCCTTGTTTTGAGAGGTAAATAGCTTACCTGTAATGCCTGATACAGAGGTGGTGTTCAATAAATATTTATTCCTTTTCCATAGCCCTCAAAAAATGTGCTATTCTCTATGTACGTGTAGTAATTTTCAGTAAGGAGCATGCATATTTCACTCAGCTTGTAGCTAGGTATGTGATTATTCCTTAATATTTTCTGATTAGCTATGATACAAGTACAAGTAAGAGAAGGAAGATTCTTAGTTAACTATGTGAATTATTTGTATGAGTCCAGGAGAGATTGTGGAGTCCCTGGGTGGTGCAAATGGTTAAGCACTTGGCTACTAACCGAAAGGTTGGTGGCTCAAATCCACCCTGAGGTGCCTCAGTAGAAAGGCCTGGCAATCTACTTCTGAAAGATCACCATCACTGAAAACCCTACGGAGTGTAATTCTACTCTGAAGCACCCAGGGTCGCCATGAGTCTGAATAGACTCGGCGGCAACTGGTTTGGATTTTTTTTTTTTTTTTAAGAAGAGATTTCGATTTTCAGACTCTAGAATAAAAACCAAAAACCCAAACCCGTTGCTGTCGAGTCAATTCTGACTCATCGTGACCCTGTAGGACAGAGTAGAACTGCCCATAGGGTTTCCAAGGCTGTAATCTTTATGGAAATAGACTGCCGCATCTCTCTCCCGTGGAGCAGCTGATGGGTTTGAACCACTGACCTTTCAGTTAGCAGCTGAGCACTTAACCACTGCGCCACCAGGGCTCAGGCATAGTATTAGCAAATTAGGATCAGTTCTATAAAAGTTATAAACAATTTAGGACACGGAAAATCAGGGGTGGAAAGGAGGAGCGTGCTATCACAGTATGGGCAGAACAATTAGGGTCACATAACAATGTATGTATAAATTTTTGTATGAGAAACTAACCTGAATTGTAAACTTAAGTACAACAGTTAAAAAAAGAAAAGAAAAAAGTTCTAAACAATTTAAGATATGACATTCTAGAGAAGAAAAACAGATGGCTTCAAAATTCTCAAAAATATTTTTATTTTAAACAGATTCAAATAAAGTCTCAAAATACTGACACTGTTTCATTAAGATCTTATGTCTTAATCTTTCTCTTCTTTTTCTCCCTTTCAGGTATGGCTGGATCTCTTAAAACCTATTGTGAAACAGATTAGAAGTAAGTATATACTGTATGTTTATCAGTGATGTTGAATATAAAACCAGTTGTTTCATTGTTTAGACATCTTTTGCTCTGATAATCAAGTGCTGAGGATACAGATTCTTTCCTTACACCTTGATTGCTTTTCATCATTGATGCATCTATGTACTGTTAAAATGTATCTTCTGCAACTGTAATATGTAACAATCTGGTAATCAAAACCTCACTTGGAAAATCAAATACCATTTTGATCAACAACTAAAGCATGTTATTAAGCCGCAGAATAATTTGGCTTGTCCTGGCTATGCCAGCGTATCTTACTGTCATTTTTGAAAGGGACGGGTAGAGCCATTTATTCATAAAACCCTTTTTAGGTTTTCTGTCCTGCTTCTTCAGAGCCTGTGAAATCAGGAGGCAAGTGTTGTTTGGAAGAATAATGTGCTCAAAATTTAGTGTGTATGTGTGTGTGTGTGTGTGTGTTTATCTTAATGGCAAGCAGAACTCGAAGAGATTGTGGGGTGTACCTAGACTGTGTACTAGAGAGAAAAGATTAAGGGGGGTCTGTGAGAGGAGTGAAGCCCTGGTGGTGCAGTGGTTAAGAGCTCGGTTGCCGACCAGAAGGTCAGCCGTTCAGATCTACCAGGCACTCCATGGAAACCCTATGGGGCAGTTCTCCTCTGTCCTGTAGGGTTACTATGAGTCAGAATTGACTTGATGGAAGTGGGTTTGGTTTTTATGGGTTAAGAGAGGAGGAAGGAGCCCTGGTGGCGCAGTGGTTAAGCACTCGGCTGCTAACCGAAAGGTTGATGATTCGAACCCACCAGTTGCTCCACAGGTGAAAGCTGTGGCAGTTTGTTTCCGTAAAGATTACAGCCTTGGAAGCCCTGTGGGGCAGTTCTGCCCTGTCCTGTAGGGTCGCGATGGTTATTGATCGCCTCAGCAACAACAGGTTTAAGAGAGGAGTGAGGAGCCTGGGTGGTGCGAGTGGTTTACTATCAACTGATGTCCAAAAGGTTGGCGGTTCAAATCCACCCAGTGGTACTGCAAAAGACAGGCCTGGCGATCTGCTGCCGTAAAGATTACAGCCAAGAAAACCCTATAGGGCTGTTCTAATCTGTAACACTTGGGGGCGCTGTGAATCAGGAGCCCACTCTATGGCAGCTAACATCAACAACAGGAGAGGAGTGGGGTTCCTGGGTGGTGCAAACGGTTAAGTGAGGTGCCTCGGAAGAAAGGCCTCACGATCTACTTCCCAAACATCAGCCACTGAAAATCCTGTGGTGCACAGCTCTATCCTGACACGTGTGGTCTCCGTGAGTCAGAATGGACTGGACAGCAGCTGGTCTGGTTTTCTGGTTGGGAGAGGAGTAACTGCCATCGAGTCACTTCTGACTCATGGTGACCCCATGCATGTCCAGACAGAACTGTGCTCCCTGGGGTTTTCAATGACTGATTTTTCAGAAGTAGATCACCAGACCTTTCTTCCCAGGCACCTCTGGGTAAACTCAAACCTCCATAATTTTGGTTAGCTGCTGAGCTTGTTAGCAGTTTACACCACCCGGGGACTTGATGAGCATGGAACTCAAATAATTTGTGGGATAGATTTTATGTCTGTTTAAAAAACCCCACTGGGGCCACTTACGGCAATTTATATGAACGTAATAAACATACAGTGTGTCTGTGTGGCCTTTATGCAATTGAAATTGATGTTGGTCTTTTATAATTTAAATTAATTATTGATGCCAAAAATGAAAAGACCATCATTTCTTCAACACTTACTGGGTGTCCTCAGGGGGGCTGGCAGGTGACTAAGTTGTGGGGACACACTGCTGAGAGAAGCCCCCAGGCCTCGTGGGCAGAAGTAGCACAGAGGCCAGAAGGATTGCGCTTGTCCCTGGGACGGTTAACGACGGGATGTGTAATGGCGGAAAGGTATCTCTTTAGCGCATTACCCAGCGCGGACCCTGAAGACAGCGTCTGGCCAGGTCGGGATTGGACGGGCTGTTGTCTTTCTCATCTCTCCCCGTGCTCTGACCGGCCGTGCAACAAGGCTGGCCTTTTGCATTTTAGTGCTAGCGCCTCCCTAGCTACAGGTTTGCTAAGGCTCCGAGCAGCCTCATTAAAATTCAGTGTCTGTGAAAATCGCTGAAAGGAAATAGTGCGGCTGTTCCAGGTCTTCGCGTTTTCGCCCCTGCTATTTCATGCTCCGGCATTGGCACGTGAGGGTTTCTGCTAATTTTTAGAGTAATTAGGGACAAGAAGCCCGGACTCTCTTGGCTTCAGTTTTTCCCTACCTCGTGTTTTATTTTTTTCTCCTAATTTTGTATATATGCTGACAGTGTACCTCGTAACATCTCTTATTTGGTCTTTTTCTAAATTTGAATGTGTTATCCCAGAGAGTGTCCATATTTTTGTGATAGTGAAAAATAGAACAAAAAGACATTTTCTGCTGCTATAATATTTCTCATAAAATCAGACTTCATTATGTTGTTGTTGTTGCTGGGTGCTGTCGAGTTGATTCCAACTCATAGTAACTCCACGTGACAGAATAGAACGGCCCTGTAGGGTTTCCAAAGCTATAGATCTTTATGGAAGCATACTACCACATCGTTCTCCCTCGAAGCAGCTGGTAGGTTCGAACCATTGACCTTTCAGTTAGCAGGCGAGCACTTAACCACTGTGCTCAGCAGGGTTCCTTTCTTAGAGAGGTAGGATTCAAAACCTCTATGAAAACGGAAAGGAAGAAAGCGAGGCAACGGAGACAAGATCCCTCCAGCCACTGGCGGACAAGGGAGCGTGCGGGACAGTGAAAGCCTGAGGAGCACAAACCAGAAACCAAACCCATTTCCGTCAAGTTGATTCCAGCTTATAGCGACCCCATGTGAAGAGGAGACCTGCCCCACAGGGTTTCCTAGGCTGTGAGCTTTATGGGAGCAGATTACCCAGTCTTTTGCAGAGCCACTAGGTGGGTTCGAACCACTAACCTTTTGGTTAGCAGTCCAGTGCCTAACTGTTGTGCCACCAGGGCTCCTTGGACTTCATTATATGAGCTCTTAACCACTGCACCACCAGGGCTCCTCATTACAGTTAGTAAGTACCTTACGTTTCACAGAATGTGAACTCATTGCTGTCATTCCAGATGGCCTATATGGCTGCACATCATGACAAAAGAGGCTGACCCAATTTTTAATTCTGTAATCATTTTATTTTCTATTTGGTTTCATGAAGAGGCATGATTGTTCTCACTTTATAATCTATTTGATGTTCTGTTTTAATCTGAATGGAAGTGTAATTCATCTTGTTCAAAGTCTCTCCGCAACCCCCAATCTACTTTCTGATTTTGTCTCAACTCCTGACGAGGTAGTTGTTAAGACGCTTAGGAGAGGCTTTGACTGTGGCAAAGGCAGGGCCGTGTCTTGTTTCTGTTTTATCTCCAGAGCTTGGGGGCACCTGACGCACAGGTGCTGGGTACATGTTTGACCAACACATGAGCCACTGGACCTTGGAGATAGTTACATTATTTTTTAAAATCACATAAATTACATCCACTGATTTACATTTCTATTATCTCATTCTTAGATTGTTTAAAGCTTATATTTGGATAAAGGCTGCTAATTAGGTAAATTTCTAAGGACAAAAATGATTTTTAAAAACCTAGGTCCACTTTAAGGCTCCAGAGAAAAGGGTTTAATATCTCGTCAAAGTATTTTTTTTTTTTAAAGCTGTGTTTCCCCACACTATGAAAGCGTGAATAAGCAGTTGTATTTGGCCAGTTGTTAAGAGACTTGGGAGCTGGCAGACGTACTCTTGGTTGCTGGGAACGAGAGTCACTATTTGGTGTATAATATACCCTGGACGGTCTTTTTCTTTAATGGCGTTTGAAACACAGATGCATAAATGCCTGACTGCTTTTCTTCTTCTGTAGGGCCAAAGCATGTTGTTGTTAAGTTTGTGGTGAAATTCTTTCCACCTGACCACGCACAGCTCCAAGAAGAACTCACAAGGTTAGTGGTTTAGAAATGGGGTATTTATTGCTGTGGGGTGCAGAGGACAACGGGAAACTCAACGTTCTAAGCTGATTAATTAAACATTTTCATAATTACTGGACCAGTATTTGCTCTGTGCTTACTAGTTTAGGCCTGTTTTCCCCTAGCTCTACTTAGAAAAATGGGAGGGGGAGGGGGAAGTCACATGATTTCCTAAAGCCTGGTTTCTTTGAGGCTGTGACCTGGGCTTAAAACCTGTACTGTCTCCTGTGAAGTGAACCGGGCTTCTAGCCTGTTTACTGTTTGATTTTCTCTCTTCTGTCTATCACATCATGAGACAGCTTGGGGAAACAAGTCTCTTCTGGGACACCGAGATGCTGCTCACAGGTGGTCTTTGTCGCCACCATGGATGAGTGGATTTGACACGCACGTGGATCATCTTGTCTGGAGTGTGGCTGAGTGAGGGGAGCTGTGTGCCCAGCCAGTTCCTTGTTCCTCTGCGCCTCTCTAACTCATCTGTAAAAGTGCAGGTTATAGTGTTTGCTTGGCCAGAGTCGTTTTGAGGGTCATCAGTAGAGACTCTGTGAGAGCTGTCATCACCGTCATCGACATCCCCATCATACGGCTACCACCCCTCCTCATTTTCCAGATCGGCAGTGATTTTCCAAAAGAAAGTGGAACTGGCAGGAACTTGTGGAAATAAACATTCCTTTCAAGAGCCCTGTTACGAATACACTGGCGTGACCAGCCACATTCTTGTCACACATACCTTTCAAGCTGCAGCTGTTTAGAACCGAGGCTGGACACGCCTTTCTCATCCCTCTTGGTACGGAGTGTAGTGTCTTGAGTGGCTGACTGACTTTTGGTCAACAGTGTTGATTAAGCGTGTGCAGTGTCCGAGTACAGGTCTGGGCACTGGGGATACGGTGGTGAAAAGAGAGGTCCTGACTTTTGCAGGGACTGTGATTCAGTGGGGGACAAAACAATGGATTAAATAAACCAGAAAAATATCAGCTCATGAGAAGGGCTCTTTAGGAAATTAAAAGTAGGGTGATGTGATAGAAAGTGATGGGTGACTACTTTAGACTGGCCGGTCTGGGATGCCTCTCTGAGGACATGACAGAAACCTGCCAGTGGTCATCCGAGGAAACACTGTTGAGATGGAAGGAACAGCCTGGTGCCCAAGGCAGGACCACGCTCCGTATGTTCAGAGACTGAAAATGCCGGGAATGTTGAGCGTCGTGTGCAGTGAAGTGGGAGAGAGGCCAGATGATACAGAGTTGTTGTTTCTAAGACTCTTAATTCGTGTGAGATGATAGATGGTTTTGAAAGACTAGCTATGTGGATTATAGGGGGATAGGATGGAAAAACGGAACCAGTGAGGAAGCTATTGTGAATAGTCCAAGTGAAGACGATGGATGCAGAGAAAGTGGTAGCAGTGGAGACGGAGAAAGTGGTTCTGTTTAGAATCTGTATTGGGCATATGGCCAACCTGTCTTGTGATGGATTCGGGGGAAGCGTTGGAGGAAAGTAGAGCATCACTCTTGGATTTTTGACTCAAGCAGCTGGGTAGGTGGTGTTGGCGATAATTAAAATGGAGAAGTAGTAGAGGGATTGGGGAGAGGGTAAGAAATGGAGAGTTTGTTTTGGCCGTGTTGTATTTGAAATAACTATTAGACATCCATGTGACTGTGTCTTAAAGGGTGTTGGATATCTGAATGTAGAATTCCAAGTAGAGATGAAGGTGGTAGACTCTTCCCACTGCTTGGCATTTTCGGTATGAGCTGTCACTTATTGTCTGTCTCCCCTTACAATCCTCAAATCAGTGAAGCAGTTGAAGGCAGCCAGGAAATGGCAGAGCCCATCAGCCTTCTGGGAATTATGTGCTGTTTGATCAACCGCTTTACATGGGGTTGGAGTAGGGTAGCTGGCAGACAGCAGGAGAGTTTCTGTGCTGGTTTTCCTATTGCTAGACCACACCTCTCAGCTAGGCATGCTGAAATATATCTAATGGCGAGTCCACCTGTTGGTTGGCCACGTGCCTGTTCCTCCTGCTTTCCCCTGGGCCTCTTTGCCTGCTTAGGAGGTTGAAGACATAAACCTTTTTTTCTTTTTTTGTCCACTGAATATTCTCCTTTGCAATTAACTTTTGTACCTTTTTGATTTTTGTGAATCATCATCTCTAGAGGTGGTAGTTTACCTCCATGCTACTCCTTGTTATAAAATCCCATGCGTGCTGCCATTAAACCCGAGTGGCTCGTGTTTTGCCAGCTTCTCTGTCAGTGCCGATCAATTCCTGCACTCGCACACGCTCAGCTGCCCAGAGTAGTGTTTTTGTTCTTTTGTGGCGGCGGTTGTTTTTTCTGGTTCCCAGTATGAACTGACATTTTAAAAATCTTTTCCAAATAGAGAATCCCTTTGGCTCAATGTTGAGTAGAATTGATCTGAAATTTCTTTCTTATGCATTTAGAAATGCCCCATCGTGATGCACTTTGAATGTAAAGTATAAGGTCCAGGGACCCTCCCAGATCCAGTGTGTTAGGCTCCCCACACTATCAAATTCCTGTGTAAGCGAAAATTGGATGATAAGACAGTTGCAAGTTCTGGTGCTTTAGCGGATGGTGAGTGGGGGAGAGGGGTGGAAAGAAGTCCTGTGTCTACAGCGCGTTAGGTGAGGGATGTGTGGACAGGGGCAGGTAGAGACGGAAACCGGCCTACAGTTGAGCAGAGTGGAGGTTACTCTGGGTGGCGCAGATGGTGTGCTCCAGACTGCTAACTGAAGATCGGCAGTTCAAACCCACCCAGTGGTGCCGTGGAAGAAAGGCCTGGCAATCTGTTTCTGTAAAGATGACAGCCCAGAAAACCCCGTGGAGCAGTTCTACTCTGTAATACGTGGGATCGCCATGAGTTGGGATCAACTCTATGGCCACGGGTTTTAAGTTACTCTAGCTGTCTAGTTCGTTCTTGAGGGCTCCAGGAATAGCTTTCCATCCCCCACTTCTAAAGATAGAAGATTAAATTGCACTTCGCTGTTCAACAAGACGCTGAATGCCTTTCTACTTATTGAACTGCACATTCAGTGGAAATCTTTTCTGTTGACACCAGAGCCTAGGCATCTGGGAGAAAGAATACTTACTGACTCTTAGATGAAGATTGAAAGCAGCTGGGGATCTTTGGAAGCGAAGTTACTATTTTTTTCTGGTTGCAGAGCTCTGCATCACTTTTCTGGTGCTGATCAGTTCAAGCACACTCCTTTTCCAGACCTTCTCTTGGGGTGTACCATTTCGTCTGTGATGCTGTTTCTCCTTGTCTGTGGTCTTCGCATAACTGAAGGGGAGCCCCCCCCCCCCCGTTAACCGTTTGCTGCTGGGCGACACCTGCTGAGGTTTTACTTTAGGCTGGCAGAGAAATTGTAAATTATTTACATTTAATATGAAAATAAAGAAGATCTACGCCTCCCCAACGAAAGAAATGAATTTGAATAGACGTTTTTAAAACAATGCATCAGATTAGTGTCATCTGTGATCCTCGCAGTCTGTAGAAGTAAAAGCCCCTCTGATTGGTTCCGGCACCATCATCATCACCCCCCTCACACCCGCCCCATCTGCCAAGGAAGGTTGATTCCACTTTGAGCGCTTTGTGTTTTGGTTGCGTTTCTTGGGTTTTAACGTTATTTTGTGTTTTAGCCTTTGCCTCTTGTGAATTTGATTGGAGCCCTGGTGGTACAGTGGTTAGGCATTCAGCTGCTGTCCAAAATGTTGGCAGTTCTAATCCACCAGCCGCTCCTTGGAAATCCTATGGGGCGTTCTGCTCTGTCCTGTAGGGTCCCTATGAGTTGAAATCAACTCGACGGCAGTGAGTTTGGTTTTTTGGTTTTGTTTGTTTCACTTGTGAATTTGAATGGGACTGTGTCAGTTTATAGTACTGAATGTATGGCTGTATCTCTGAAGTTAGCGCTTCAGCCAGCGTGCTCAGCTGACAGCTCTTGTCGTTCAGAAAAGTCGGCGGAGTCGTTACCCAGGAAGGTATTTCTCATGTTACAAGGACCTTGGAACAGGGAAGAGTCGGCAAAAATAGGGGGTGAAAAGTTCTTCCTTCAGTCTTCAAAAAGGTACTCTCCCTCTAAATAAATCTGTGTGCTCTCAGATCCTAATAGTGTCTCACTGCCCACATGATTGTCACCAAAGGCCGCCAATGCCATTCAGACGCTGGCTGTGAATCTGTTTCAGAACACTGGTTTGTGAACACAAGACCCCGTTTTGGAGCTAGTAAATTGTAACGTGCTCAGGATGTAATGCTTTTAAAACAGAAAGCCCTCCTTCTTGTTTAAAAATTAACCACAGGGATTAGGAATTGAAGCCTGTGGGTCTAAGAAGTGTCACAGTGTGGAAGACACACACTGCCTAATTGAGAAAGATCGCCGATACCAATGAACTCGCGCTGACGTCCCAGTTGTTTTATATTGTCGGCTTTTCAGAGATACCCCTCTAGTTTTCTAGTTCTTAGTAATGTAATTTCCTAAATGATTCCTAAAAATGTTAGTGTTTTCTTTAAAAATTGCTAACATTTGTTGAACGTTTATGTCACTGTGCTATACACTCATGAACTCACTTAGTTCTTACGGAAACCTCTGTGATTGGCGTTGTGAAAGCCCCCTTTTGAAATTAAAGGTAAGCTTTCAAAAAAAAAACTTTAATTATTACAATAGTAGTAAATGAGCGTTGCAGAAAGTTAGAATATGCAGATAAACAAAATTAAGAAAGTAAAAGTACTATGCCCAGAGGTTGCCATTATTACCACATTTGTGTGATATATTCTTCCTGATTTTTTTGTATGCATACACATGTACTTTTCATCTCATCTAACACCTAAGCCATATTCAAATTTACCCATTAGTTCCCCCATATGCCATTGATAGCTACTTATTCTAAAATAGGATTCACTCTACAACCACAAATTGCAGCTGGTCCTGATGTCCTTGGGGTTTCCTTTAATCTAGCATTGTCCCTCCTTTTTCTGTTCTTCATGATGCTATCTTGTTGAACAAACTAGACTAGTAGTACTCTAGAATATCCTGCTTTTCCTGAATCTGTCTGATGGCGTCCTTATAGTGCCGTTTAGCTTGTTCAACCTCTGTCCTTTCTATTTTCTGAAAATTGGAAGTGAGTTCTAAAGGCTTGACAGATATAAGTTAAGTATTTTGGGCTAGAATCCATTGTAAGTGATATTGTGTGCCTCATATTTTATTAGTTATGCTAAGATTGATCATTGCTTTGGGCTGTTGACATTCTGATCTTACTGTTGTAACGTGGTGTTACTTTGGCCCTGTGTGCATGTCCAATCTCCTAAATGATTTTTATACCAATTGGCAGTTCTGGTCTGCTGGAGTTCGTCATTTCTTTAGAGGTTATGGAATGATGATTTTCTAATTCTATTGTTCCTGCTACACTAAGAGTTGGCATTCTTCTATGAAGTGAAGCTTTACTACTTGGGCCATTTTGCTGCCTTGAAATACCCTTCCTGATGGAGAGGCAAGTTTTGTGCGTAATTCTTTGCCTCGGGTTACCAGTTTTTAAAGGAGGAGTTGCTTTAATAGCCTTCTCAAATGGTGATACATTTTTATTTTTTCCAACTTTTTCTCTTTTTGTGAGTATCATTACGGACACATGGATTTTCATTAACTCAGTGTGTTTCAGTTCACTCTAATCATTCTGATTGATGTTCACATTGCCACAACTTTGGACAGTGGAGGAACCTCAAGATAGTTCTTTTGTCCTTTTGATACAACTGATTTATTTTGAGAGAGCTCTCTTGCTTTCTGTCATAACTAGATAATTCTAGGCTTACTTTGTAAAGTTCCTGACTCCAGACCTGGAACCTCTCATTTCTCCACAAATCTCTGTGTCTTTCCAATGGGTAATTGTATTAGAGACAAAATCTGGTTGCCAAGGGTTGCTACTGAGGGACACAGCTTTGAGGCCTTTTCAGTGGGCTCGTACCTTTCTAAACATTTATGAGTTCATATTGATATTTTCAAATCAATTTTAACATTACATTTTTTGTACTTAATTTCTTTGATTTATAAATATATCTTTTCTCTTACACCAAAAAAATATTTACTTGCCTTATGCTATAATATGAAGGAAATGCTTTAAAAATAAATTAATTTTTGCAGATCTGGTAGCTGAGGCTTAGGAAGTAACTAAGTGGAAATTACAGCGCAGATAAGTGGTATGCCAGCAATGTAAACCCATGTCTTTCCGATTCCGTTGGCAAGGCTCTTAATAACCATAATAAAGGACTCTTGTTGTCTGAGTCATAAAGCCATTCTGGAGTGTGTGTGACTGATCCTGTGAAATATTCAAAATGCTTCCTTTGCCCTGCAAAAGATAGGGGTGGCAAGATACAATCTTGTGTTTTTCTGGCTGCGCCTTTCCATATGAAACGAAGCTAATTGCTCATAATATGAAAATATTATAGTATGTGCCTCCCAGTGCTTTTTATTTTTAAGGAAGTGTGGGTATTTACCTTGTAGTCATGGCAATGGGGATTCATTCCAGCCTGGGCAGATTTCTTGTGACTTGCGTTTATAACCTCTCTTTAGTTTCTCAGTGTGGAAAGGTTGCCAGCAGTGAGCCTGACTGTGCTGCCCTCCCTCCCAGCTCTCTTTGCGTGACACCCATCTCGGTTTATATCTGCAGGTACCTGTTTGCTCTGCAGCTGAAGCAGGACTTGGCTCAAGGCAGGCTGACGTGTAACGATACCAGTGCCGCCCTCCTGATCTCACACATCGTGCAGTGTAAGTTGTGGTGGTGTCCTTTAGAAGTCAGGTTGGAAATAGCACAACGATCTGATTGACGGGGAAAAAATCACAGCCACACATGGCACTCTTAATGCTGCGGTGTTGTTTTGGCATGGATGCAGAAGCAAGAGAAGACTCCGAGCTTCATTTAATATGCATAGCCCCTAAACATTAACCCATGAATTCTGGCGTTCGTCTGTTTTATTCACGGCTTACTACATAATTGTTGGTGTTCCGTTTGTCTCAGTGGAGAAACTTGGGTGTTGGATGGCAGAGTAGACTGCGCTTGTTCTTTCCTGCTCTTCAGTTTAATTTGATATTCAGCATTGAATACGGCATGTTAGTCCTAAGACATAAAAAAAAAAAAAAAAAAAAAACCCACTGCTGTCGAGCCAATTCTGATTCATAGCGAAGCCGCCACAGATTTAACATCTCAGAGGTTCAGTAAACGCATGAAGCTGGACTGAAAGCTCGTGATGCTTGAAACTAACTGTTTTTAACTTAATCTAGACACAGGATAGAGTAGATTGTACTCATTCAAGATTTACTAAAGCTTATCAAGTGACAACCTACCTAGACATTTTCCACCTCATTCAAGGGAGAAACCACTTTAAATGGAATATACACATTATGTTTCAAACAAATAATTCTGCGTACAGACTAAGATCACTGTGCGTAAGCACTGCTGTAAGAAGGGAAAAAATGCTGTGCTATCATCTGTTTAATTGCCATCGTAGACAAAGTGGAACCATATAATCATCCCCATCAAATTCTGATAACTGCCCAGTCAATAAGATTTCCAAGGGGTTTTAAAGAAGCATCGCTCCCAAAAGTCAATGACCTGCCTGAGTTCAGTGGAAGGGGGTGTTTCTAGAGAAAGTGTTTATCTTCTTATTTTTTTGTACATGCGTGCCATTGAATGTTTACTAGATGTAGCACATAGATGCTTTCTTACCCATTTGAAAAAGCGATGTGCAGAAGAAAAACAAAATAAAAAAATGTGTCCTTTATTAAAACTTTGTCTTTGCTAACCCTGTATATATTATCTCAGAATTCTCTTGACAACCCCGTGGGATCAGTACCATTATTGTCCCCATTTTACAAATGAGGTTACTTTGGCACAGAAAAATCACGTTTGCCTTTCTTGTGTTTGGTCTTCTGTCTTCCTAAACCGATAGGAAAGATACATCGGTATCTTAGGCTTAAAAACCCCGAAACTCATTGCCCTCAAGTCGGTTCCGACTCATAGTGACCCTATAGGACAGAGTAGAACTGCCCCGTAGGGTTTCCAAGGAGCGGCTGGTGGAATCTTAGACATAGGCAGACCTAATTTGGTTGACCAGGTGCCTAACCTTTCTGACCCTCCATTTCTTTTGGAACATGAGAATAATAGAATCTTTTACATAAAGCCCTGAAAATTAAATGATAGCATGAATACTCGATACGTGTTAGGTGTGCAGGGAACATTACTCTCCGTTCTGTATCCCCACTCACCTGCAGCCCCCCATTTCCAGACAATGTAACATTTAAAACCAGGCTTCCTTATTGGAATGCCACCTTCATCAAAGGTCTGTGACCCGGGGCTTTTTGTAAGCAGAGGAGAAATGTGCCTTTCTAGAATATTCCTGATGCCATTGAGCCTCCTTCCCCCAAGTCTGTGGACACAGTGACTCTCACTGTTACGTATAGAAGTGGAGATTCACCAGCCTCCAGAAAAGTATGTGCTCTGTCTGGTACCCCACTCATCTCTCAGACACCAACCAGGGGCTCAAATCCCCCCAGAATAGGGAATTTTTTAAGAAAATGGAATATATGGGTTCAGAAGTGCTCCTGCTCCTTACATAGTTTTTGGTACGAGACACACGACTTTTTAGAATCCTCTTGCCATGTCTGTAAAGCCCCATTTCAGCATGTTTTTCGTCAAGTTCTCCAGCAGCCCCAGCGCTCAGTCATGAAGGAGGAATGTCGCAGAATCCGCCGTGAAGAGCATGTTGATTTAAATTATTGGTAATTATTTACAGTATCAGTAAGGTGTGAGAGGTCACCTCGTTTCCCCTTTTGCAGAACCTTTTCCAGTGCTAATTGTAAATTATTTCTGGTAAGCTGTATGTTAGATCCCTGGTGGTGTAGTGGTTAAGCGCTCGGCTGCGAACCAAAAGGTCGTCAGTTCGAACCCACCAGCCACTCTGTGGGAGAAAGATGTGGCAGTCTGCTTCCATAAAGATATACAATCCAAGATCTTTTTTTATTTCCCTCTTCTCATTTATTTAAATTCGAGGAATCTTTTAGATGTTCTGGAAACCCTGGTGGCATAGTGGTTAAGAGCTATGGCTGTTAACCAAAAGGTCCGCGGTTCGAATCCACCAGGCGCTCCTTGGAAACCCTATAGGACAGTTCTGCTCCATCCTATAGGGTCGCTATGAGTCGGAATCGACTCGATGGCAGCGGGTTTGGTTTGGTTTTGGTTTCAGATGTTCTGCATTTTCTTTTTTTCTTTGCTTCACTGGCTTTATATATCCCCTGCAATATTTCAAACTCTTAATTTTCTCTAATTTACTATGAATCAACTAAATAGGACTTGTCGATGACGAGGGGAATCAAACACTATATAAACTGATGTAAAAGTACCGAGTAGGTAGCCTAGAGGTGTGTCAGGGGCTACATTTCTGCAGGTGGTTAGTTCCTCCGCCGTGAGAATCACACATGACAGAACAGGTTTGCCTAATAAGTTGTCTTCATGAGAAGTACAGTTCATTGATTGGAATCACAGGATTTGGGTTTTTTCTGTTGTTGTTGTTTGTATTTTTGGTCCTCAGTATACCACGATGAAATTTAGTAGGTACATCCGCTAATATGACATCTGTGGCATAAAACATTAAAAAATACTAAGTCGTATCTTAAATATGCATCGGTTCTCAAACTCTAAAAGAATGAGGAGCCTATTTCCGTATTTCAAAGGGGAGAACACGTGGGGAGAAAATGAGTTTCATGGTTATGTATTGCCATCGCAGGTTAGGGGGGCAATGAGAGGCAAGTGACTCAGAAGACAATTAGTAGACATATTAGACGTTGGACTTCTTAATTCATTTCTGCTGAATCTTGGAAGACAGCGTGTTATAAAATCCACGTGAGCTATGAAGTCCACCCTAAACGCTCAAGGACGTTTAGGACTTAGATGTTTTCCCATATACTTTCTTAGGGCCAGATGGAAGGAGTTGCAGCAGTCAGTCAGCCAACGACAATGGCACTGTGGCCGTTTCTGCACCGTTTTCTGTGATGGAGGGTGGCAGTTTTACTGTTGAGGGAGGGAGAGATTTGTTTGGAAGTCAAGGCATTTAGGAAGTAGTGTGATTGGTCTGTCATAGCAGGAGGAATCTGGCGAGTGACTGAGTCTTCAGTGGCCCACCTGTTGGCAGTGTTCTGTGCAGAGCACATATTCTCAGCGGGTGTGATTTATGGCACCTATAACAACGTATAGGCCATATCCTGTGTGCTGACTGGAGGTCCATCACCCAGAGTGTGATAAGCTGCTTCATGTGAGGAAAACGAAAGGTAGGTTTCGTAGCAACCAGCCACTTGCATTAACCAAAATAGCTGCAGCAGCTGGGCTCTGGTTAGTAGCTCTGCTTCTTATTAAGCTTCTTACATAGAATACTTGATACAAAGAAGAAGGTGTGCCGTCCCATACTGCAGTCGGTATGAACTGGGCTGGAGCTCAGGTACAATTATTATTTGAAACCTAAAGCACTTCGAGACTATGTTGAGGTTACACGAGGAAGAAAAACATTATGTTTCTCGTATATGAAAAGTACATAGGAATTTTCAATGTAACTGGCTATTTCTGACAGCACGAGTAGCAGAAATTTAATAGGCTCCTTTAATTTTTTTTTACCAAATTAAATCATTTGAATTTGCATCCATGTATAATCATCTTTTCTCTAAATGATAAAGCATTTGAATTTTGCATAATAACTACTGTATGTAAGAGTTTTAAAAGTTGATTTTGTAGAGTCCTGAAGCCATGACTTGTCTAGAGGTCAAAACGTGTGATACTCTCACGGCAACATGCAGGCCTCCAGAGTAGGACAGACTGACAGACGGGTGGTAGAATTTTCTAGGAGCCACATTAAAAAAGTAAAACGAAACAAGTGAAATTAATTTTTTTGGAACTGATCCATATGAGCAAAAGCATATGGCAGAAATGATCTTATGCTGTTTTCAAGGAGAGATCATAAAAGACATATTTTACATTGTGAGATTGGCAACCAATGTCACAAAACAATTGTGTATTAATTGTTTAATGAGAAACTAATTTGCTCTGTAAACTTTCACCTAAATCACAATTTAAAAAAAGAGAGAGAGAGAGGGAAAAAAAGATATATTGTAACTACTGCCTCATGCTTTCTGTTGGATCACTCATCCTGGGGAAGCCAGCCGCCATATTATGAGGACTCTCAGGCAGCTCTGTGGAGAGGCCTACATAGTGAGGAACTGAGGCCACCAGCCAACAGCCAGCGAGGAAGTGAGACCTGCCACCAGCAGCCACGGAAGTGAGCTCAGAAGCAGATCCTCCAGTCGCAGTCGGGCCTCCGGATGACTGCAGCTCTGGCTTGACATTGTCATTGCAACCTTTTGTGAGACCCTGAGCCAGAACCACCCAGCTAAGCCTCAACTGAATTCCTGAACCTCAGAAACTGAGAGACAATAAATGTCACTGTTTTAAGCCAAAAAAAAAAAAAAAAGTGATAATCTATGTGCATAGAATTTACAGCCGAGAACAAAAGTGACCCAGAGTTGGACGGTGAGGAAGAATCAAAGCAGGGACACCGATAGCTGAAGATGGATGATTCTGAAGTTTTCTTTCCGACAGTTAGAAATAAGGAAGAGTGGAAACTATCTTCTTATGTTGCCATAATTGTTAAATATGCCTTCACATCCTAAGGAGCGCTGGTAGTGCAGTGGTTAAGTGCTCAGCTGCCAACCAAAAGGTCGACTGTTCAAACCCACCAGCCTCTCCGTGGGAGAGAGATGTGCGGTCTGCTTCTGTAAAGACTGACAGCCTTGGGAACCCTGTGGTGCAGTTCTACTCTGTCCTATAGGGTCGCTGTGAGTTAGAATCGACTTGACTGCAGTGGGTTTGGCTTTTTTTGGGGGGTGGGGAGGGTGCTCACATCTGTACCTTCTAACATCTAGCCCTTATGATGCTTCCCCCCAGCTGGGATCTCTTGTGTTATCACCTTATGCCCAGTTTGCTGGCTGAATCATATTCCACTGGGGAACATAACACATTGTGAAGTGCTAACAAAAGGTGGTCTTTTTTTTTTTCTTTGTGTGTTTCTTAGCTGAGATTGGGGACTTTGATGAAGCATTGGACAGAGAGCACTTAGCAAAAAATAAGTACATACCTCAGCAAGACGCACTAGAAGACAAAATCGTGGAATTTCACCATAACCACATGTAAGTCTCATTTATTGCTTCATGTTCCCATTGAGTGTTTCTCTCGGCTCTCCCGCTTTACATAGGTACGCGCTTGCGTGCACACACGTGCACACGTAGTGACCGTTGGGAAGAAATCCATGGGGGGCGGGGGGGGGCAGAAGAGCAGAGAGGCTCATGGGGTTGGTATCACTTCCTAGAGTCTCAGAACTGCAGGGAAGGGCTCCAGGCCCCTCGCTTGCTTTCCTGTGAGACCAGTGTTGTTGATGTCGCTAGCTGCCCTCACGTGGGCTGCTGTCTCATGCTCTGGAATAAACGGGAGGGTGTAAGACCAAGACGTCACCCAGTTATCATCTTAGGGGAAGGTTGGGAATGGGACATGGTAAACTAGGGACCCAGTAAGAAGCTGGTGAGGACCTGGAGCCTTTGTAACATCTCCATTTTGTTTGAAGCAGTAAAACATTGTAAAAGGATTCCCTGTGTTTTGTTGTTGTTTAGGGAAGCGTGTGAGCCCTGCTGATAACATGAGAGAGTGTTGCCTTGAGCTTTGCTTACACGTTTGTGTTCACTGTGAGTGACCAGCAGCTGGTCTGGACACAGTGCTATCTTGCTTTCCTGTGACCTTAGAGGGAACTCTTTGAGATTCCAAAAAACTGGCCGACTTTGAGACAGACTTTCGGGGTTTCGTGTTTCATGAGCAATAACGCTTTTGTCCTACCTGCTAGACTTTGGGTCGCAGTGAATGGGAGGCTGGGTGTCATCTGATCGGTTAGCCCCACTGTTTGTGATGAAATGCCTTTTTATTTCCCAGGAGAGGCTGCTTAATCTCAAACTAATAGACTCAGGGAATTCAAATCTCCTGGCCTTTCTTTCTATGTTTGTTCTGTCAGCGGACAAACACCAGCAGAATCCGATTTCCAGCTCCTGGAGATTGCCCGTCGGCTGGAGATGTATGGGATCCGGCTGCACCCGGCCAAGGACAGGGAAGGCACTAAGATCAACCTGGCCGTTGCCAACACGGGAATTCTGGTGTTTCAGGTATGACGGTTTAGAGCACAGCTCGGTTCCCTTTGCGGTGGCAAGATAGGAGGTGGCCCTTTGACTCTGATTCCGTGTTGGGTGGGCCAAGTTAAGACCTCTGTTAGTTATTTTTAGGTGAACAGGGAAAAACTCACCTTCTCACAGGCTTGCTGTTTCCCTCGACTTCCAGGTTCTATATCATTTGCGTTTTGCCCTGCTTATGGATTTGTACGGGCTTATTGACTGTGACCAGTTGCCGTGGAGTCGATTCCAACTCATAGCAACCCTACTTATGTCATAGTAGACTTGTGCTCCATAGGGTTTCCATTGATTCAGTTTTCGGAAGTGGATGGCCAGGACATTCGGTGTGCTTGAACCTCCAGGCTTTCAGTTACAAGCTGAGCGCATTAACCTTTTGCTCCACCAGGGACTCCTCTTGACTGTAGAATCTTAGAAATCTGTATCTTTCCGTGGACCTATAGCGTAGAGCATAGTATAATAGTTGGGATTTCAGATCATCTTTAACATGCTTGCCCCGATGTTCTGCTGTAATGTGATCCTTTTTTTAACCTTATTTGAGTTGAGCCAGTGTCTTTGTAACTTCATATGCACATAACTTAAAAAGAAAAGTGTAATGTGAGCCTTTAAGATACAGCGATCCTATGAGTTCATAAAGGCCGTGTGCTTGCTCTGCGGTCATTTCACACCGTAACACACTGCACTCGAATTCCCGCTTGTATTTTACTTAAGGACGTAAAGCTGAATGATTCTCCACATTCTAAAGCGTGTGCTCTCTTGATGACACTGCTATGGAAATGTTTTATCTGTCAGTGCTTCTTTTTCTTACCAGTTTTATTGAACAAGTATTGCCATACATTTAAACTGCACATAGTTACAAGTATACAGTTGGATAAGTTTTGACGTGTGTATACGCCTGTGAAGCCATCGGAAACCCTAGTGGCGCAGTGGTTAAAAATTCAGCTGCTAACCGGAAGGTCGGCAGTTCGAACCTACCAGGCGCTCCTTGGAAACTATGGGACAGTTCTACTCTGTCCTGGAGGGTTGCTATGAATCGGAATCAACTTGACGGCGATGGGTTGGGTTTGGTGTGAACATAGTCATCACCCCTGGAGGTTCGTTCCTCAGTGCTTCTCTGTTCAGCAAAAGTGTGTAATCTGTGCTTTGGTTTTAAAAGCTGTGGAAGAAGCATCTGCATTTCAGGAAACAGGGCCAAATTTAGCCTGCTTTTGAAATTGTAAATATGCGCGTGACCAAAAACTCTTTTTTTTGAGCTCTGCGCAGGTTTTCTTCCATTTTCCCCTCCGTGAGTCTTCTTTCCTGCTTCACACATATGCGTGTGGCAGACACTAATTATTAGTGTCCTGCCCGGAGGTATTAAAGTCGAGGTTCATGTCCAGTAGCTTTGCCAGCAGCTTTGTATCAGAGGAGGTGGCAGCTGCTAACAGTTTCTGACCTACGTGAATAGTCTGTGAGTGTCTGAGAAGAGTAACGACAATAAAACCAAGTATGGTTGTTAGTCCTACTGTTAAATTTCAAACTCAAAACCATTAAACGTTTCTGAACGTCGTGAAGTGGGAAAAAGAGAACTCGAAATCCAATTAATTTGCTTTGATTGCAATTGATATGATCTCAGTGTTGAGAAATGCCCAGTAATTTAATAATGCTCCAATGGCACTGCCTAATTGCTTCCTTCTTGCCACTCTGAATGAACGGACTGGGCGGTCAAGTGGGCTGAGTAGGAATTCTAATTTTAGTTGAGAAGGAAGAACAGATGCAAGTTTGTGTCTGGTAACTCCTTACAGCGTCCCCACCGCGTCCTCCCTGGCTGCCAAGGACCAGGAGGGGGCGTGAGCCCTGCCCCGAGGCTGTGCTCTGGTACTGAACACGCAGCCCCCGGCGAGCCGCAGCCCTGCAGCTCAGTCCCCTTCCTGAGTCCTGCTTGTGTTCCTGAAAGCTAGGTGGGTGCGGGAGCCAGACCAGCCTGGACAAGTGGGGGTTGATGGCTGACCTTCTGCCTTACTTCCGTGGATATTACCTGTAGCCTGTGGGTAAGGGTACTCGCTTGGGAATCTCCGTTCTGCCAGATGAAAGCTATGATGTTGAACAAATTAAAATACAGTCAAACCTGTGAAAGCCGGAATCTATATAAGGTGGAAACCTGCTGAAGAAGGAAAACTCAGATATTGTCCACTAGTAGAGAGCGCTAGAAAAGTGGTAAGCCTCTACCCTGTCAAAGGTGGAAAACTTGTGAGAGCTGGAAAAACAAGGCACGGAACTCTAGTGGCGCAGTAGTTAAGAGCTCAGCTGCTAAGCAAAAGGCCAGCAGTTTGAATCCACCACCTGCTCCTTGGAAACCCTGTGGGGCAGTCCTACTCCGTCCCGTAGGGTTGCTATGAGTCAGGATCGGGTTCCCATTGAGTTCCATCTCTTAGAGTTCCCACTGTGTATGCATGCTGCAGTTCCCTTACCTGTAAAATGATGATAAACCCATCTCACTGGGTTTCCTGTGAGGTTTTGATAAGGTATGCAAAGCACTTAGCACAGTGACTGGCACTCGCTGAGTGAAGGCTCCTGGTTAATGTGGTGATTGTCAGGGTTTTATTTGTATTTATTTTATTCTTATTTTTATCATTAGCTTGACCAGCCTCTTCTCTCCCTGGAGGCAGCCTTAGCCTGAATGCTAAATCATGATTAGTGAGGAACAATGCGCCAGGAACTGGTATCGCCCAGTATCCACAGGTCCCGTGAGTGGTCCAGCCAAAGGCGGACTCACTGAGCACGGCCCTTCATCCCTGGCCGTCCGCTCCCCACGCACAAAGCGGTCCTCCTGGCGTGTTCGCTGGTATGCAGTTTTGGCTCACTAGTTGTTATCTTTCTTCTGTTTTCAGGGTTTCACTAAGATCAATGCCTTCAACTGGGCAAAGGTGCGGAAACTTAGCTTCAAGAGGAAGCGCTTTCTCATCAAGCTCCGCCCGGACGCAAATGTAAGTGGGTCACAGACAGCAAGGGGGACAGCCGCTCCTGCCTGTCAGTCACGGGCTGAGGGATTGCCGTGCCAGGGACTGAAGTCGGCTCTCAGCAGGGCTGACACCAGAAGCGCGGCCAGGTGGTGCCCAGGTACCCTTGTGCAAATGAGCTCTGCATTTGGGAGCAGATGAGGGGGATGGCTGAACGGCATGAGGAGCAGAATTAAAGTCACTGAACTGTACCTGTAAAGATTATTGCAGTGGCAAGTGTTTTGTTACCTGTATGCTTAACCACATACACACAAAGTTACCAGCAAAAAAACAAACAAACAAACTCTGAATGTCTATAGAGATGTAGCCAAGCCCTCAGGAACTCTACAGCTGTCATTCTCGGTAAACAGAGGGTGAAGAATACCTAGCACAGAAGGGTGCTTAGGGAGAGGGTCACTTACCTGGGCAAATACAGGCAGCCCCTGCCCACAGCCGGCCTGAACTGTCAGTTGCCGGCATGTCTAGCCTCGGCCCCCACCAAGATACCAGCAGTGTTCTGCCATTTTCAGGCACACCTTGCCAGCACAGGAACTGTCCCTGGCGCTCAGGTCCCTGCTGTGGCCCCCAAACCTCTGGCAGAGCTCATTCTCACGGGCAGACCAGGTCCTTCCCACTTGCTCTCGATGTTGCTGCTGTTGTTAGGTGCCATCGAGTCAATTCCGACTCATATTGACCCCACATGACAGAGTAGAACTGCCCCATAGGGTTTCCTAGGCTGTCATCTTTGCAGAACGAGATAGCCAGGTCCTCCCTCGGAGCGACTGGGCAGGTTTGAACCACCAACCTTTCGGTTAGCAGCTGTGTGCTTAACCACTGCGCCACCAGGGCTCCTGCTGCTTCCGTAAAACCCCTAAACAGCACTCTCACCAGGACTGGGTTGGGGAAGGGAAGACCAGCATCTTCTCCATCTGCCAGAAATGGCGATAGAAAAAGGGATGGATGATACATCCCTGGTGTCCTCAGCCGGAACTGAGAGTATTTTTTCCCATGGAAAAAAGATTATAAATGGCAACAGAGGCTTATAGAAGAGCTACAATATGGATTAAAATAGGCTTTTATGGCCTGACCTGGGGAAAAACACGCTTTTTAAGTTCTTCTCTCTGGGAAAATGCATTTTGAGTTCTAAAAAGCTGACTTCCCAATGAAGGATTGCAGCACAGCTTGTTTGTAAATTGAGACTGCCCAGGACTGAGATCCCCCAGAATAGTAGGAACTGCTTGGAATGTTAAGGACTGTGGTTCCTTTTGTTTTTATAACATGGCCACTCAAATCAGGAGCATTCGGCCGTGGGAGTAGAAAATTACTCTATTCCCTTCCCAGAATCAAAGGACATGAATTTTTCTTTTGTGCTCCAGAAAAAAATTTCATTTCCTGTACAGTTCCTGGGGCCACTTGGAGGCTTAAGCCATATGCTATTTTATAGAGAAGACTTAAGACTAATATTCAAAGTTGACATGAACCATGAGGAAGAAAACAGAAGAGTTGTATTTCAGTCATTTTAAGGAGGCCGAAAGGGAATTTCGGTACTTGGAGTTTTGCTTTTGGTTTGTTTTTTTAGAAGGAAATGTAAGCCAAGTAAACATAATTTGTTTATGAATTCTGTCAAAAGAAATGTTACCACTTCCACTGAATCTGAACCAGTGTTTTCTGTTAGTTCCTGTAAGGAATTTCATGGGGAAGAAAATGGTTGCATGGTGACAGTACCTTGTCATTAGGGACAATTATATTTTACTAAATACTTGAATTTAACCCATGCTGTACTACACAATTACACATTTCTTGGATAAGTCCATGTTCTCGCCCATGTCTCATATTTCACACGTGTGAAAAATGTCTGTGGGTGATGGGAAAACCCAAAGTTACATTTTCTCTTTTTAGAGCTCATACCAGGATACCTTGGAATTCCTGATGGCCAGTCGGGATTTTTGCAAGTCCTTCTGGAAAATCTGTGTTGAACATCATGCCTTTTTTAGACTGTTTGAAGAGCCCAAACCAAAGCCAAAACCTGTTCTCTTTAGTCGAGGGTCGTCCTTTCGGTTCAGGTAAGTTTGCCGCTGCACACCTGTCCGTTTGGCCATGTGAACGTTTTTTCCTGAGACTTCTTTTTTCCTCAAGCTATCACAGTCCTTGTGGCGCAGTGGTCAGGAGCTCAGTTGCTAACCAAAAGGTCTTCAGTTTGAATTCACTAGCCGCTCCTTGGAAACCCTATGGGGCAGTTCTACTCTGTCCTCTAGGGTTGCTATGAGTCGAAATCGACTCAGCAATAAGCTGTGTGATATCCAGCAAGTAGAGAAGGTGAGCGCCCACTGCCCTCCAGGAGATGTGGCTGATGGAGGTGTTTGCCTGGTAATCCTAGCAGGCTCCTTGTCTTGTCCTTGCTGTGCTCTTTCTGAACATTAGCCAGGCACTGGGCAGTCTACCCTGACGCAGGAAGCTCCAGGCAGGAGTCTCCAATGGAGAATGGATTCCCTGTCTCTGTAGAAGCAAAAATGTCTTACTCGCGTTTGTGTAGTTTTATAGAATGATATGTCAACTTGACCATCATTGGTTCACTTGTACATTCATTCTTTCAACAAATACTTGAGTGTCTGCTAGATGCCAAGTGCCATTTCAGGCATCAGAGATGTATAATAGTGAACAGAATTATCCCCACTGTCCCCCTTGAGTATGGTCCCCGCACACCCATATAGCTCAGTACTGAAGTCGCTCCTGAGGTTCACCCTTCAGCCAAAGATTAGACAGGTTCATAAAACAAAATGAGACTAAATGGGCACAGCAGCCCAGGGGCAAGGACAAGAAGGCAGGAGGGGACAGGAAAGCTGATAATGGGGACCCCAAGGTCATGGAGTTGGCAACCAATGTCACAAAACAGTATGTGTATTAATTGCTTAATGAGAAACTAATTTGCTCTGTAAACCTTCATATGAAGCACAGTAAAAAAAAAAAAAAAAAAGTATCCCCACTGTCATGAAACTTACAGACACTTGGCATGGTTGCATCATAACCAGACACACAATTATTAAGTGGGTGGAGTTAATCAGACATTTTTCTGTTACATAGAAGGAAATGTCAAGAGGTTGAATGGACACAAAAACCCTGGCTCTCTTAGGATTGCTTTTATTTCTGGCTAGCTGAGAAAACTCACATATCTTCCGTTACAGAACGAGTGGGATTAAAGATGCTGACGTGTTTGTGTTTGTGTGTTTAAATGAATATGCCTTGGTGTCTTGTCTTCTTCCCCTTCGTGGTCTTCATCCTAGCGGCCGGACTCAAAAGCAAGTTCTCGACTATGTCAAAGAAGGAGGACATAAGAAGGTGCAGTTTGAAAGGTAAGAAAAACGCAGATGTTGGTTCTGCCCCAACGAGAGTCGTTCTCTCCAGGTAACAGTGCTTTCCTGCTAAGTAGTCTTCACCCAGGCTCCCTGAGTTACCGAATTACTGCTCCACGGTCAACCTTGGCCAAGTCAGTATCAGACGGGAACAGTCAGGGCCCAGGGCATTGACTCGGGTGTAAGATGGGATGTGAAGAGCAGACTGAGAGGGCCAGGTGAGGAGGGGAAGGAGCTGGTAGAGGTCAGGGATGGGAGAGCAACGGGAGATGACTGTGGGAATGCTTGTTTTTAGGTGCCGTTGATCATTTTCAACTCACAGCAACCCCATGTGACAGAGTAGAACTGCCCCATAGGGTTTGCTAGGCTGTAACCTTTAGGGGAGCAGAGAGCCAGGTCTTTTTCCTGCAGAGCCACTGGGTGGGATGGAACTGCCAACCTATCAGTTAGCAGCCGAGCGCCTAACTGTTGGGTGACCAGGGCTCCTCACTGTGGAGGATAAGACACTGTAAAAACCTGCTCTCCAGTGAGTTGTTAAATATTTGGGGATTTAAATTTCTGTCGACTTCTTAATCCAATAAAGTTTGGATGAGAAGAAACAGGATTTATTACTGTTTTTGTTATCAGCAGCAACAACAGCAAAGACTTGGAGTTCTTACTAAGTGCTAGGCACAGTTCCAAGTGCTTTACATCCGTTAACTCACTGAGTCTCATACGAGTGTGTGAGGTCCATACTGTTTTATTCCCTTCTTTAAGATGGAAGCGGTAAACCTCAGAGATGAAGTACTTAGCCGTGGCCTCATAGATGGTCAGAAGCAGAGCTGGGATGGGCCCCAGTTGGTGGGCTCTAGAGCCAGTGCCTTTGCCCCTGCTGTGCTGCCTGCAGAGGGGAGAGCAGAACAAAGGCAGTGAGATAAAGGGGTGACGTGGGAAAGTCACAGCAACTCAGACACTAACGTATGCATTTTAAAAACTTTGTTCTCTTTCATTTTGATACATTTAAACATTGTAGTAAAGTACAGAGAATAATACAACACCTCAAACACTCATATTCCTACTACTTCGAATTACCTGTTTTTACATAAATAACACGCTCCTTCTGTCTATTGCGAACCATGCCCTACCCACCCCCACAAGGTATTTTTTTAAGCACCGTTAGGCCAATTTTTTTTTTACATTACTGTAAAAAAAAAAAAAAAGATAATTAGAAGGTGCGCATTACTTTCTTAAAAAATACAGTAACAACTGTTAAGAATTTTGACATATTTGTTTCTTGGGTGTTTTTCTCTCTTTATTTCTGGCTGTCATTGTTACAGATACGGCTAAGAACCCCGTTAACAAAAAAGAAAAAGAAACTAAAACAGTTGCCCTTGAGTTGATTCTGTCTCATGACAACCCCGTATGTGCAGAGTAGAACAGTGCTCCATAGGATTTTCAAGGCTGTGACCTTTCAGAAGCAGATCACCAGGCCTTTCTCCCCAGGCTCCTCTGGGTGGGTTCAAACCACCAGCATTTTGGTTAGTAGTTAAGCACTTACCTGACTGCACCACCCAGGGACTCCTCCTTTACCCTCAAGCACCCTTACTTCCTTCTCTCATCTCCAGAAGGAACAACTGGTAAATGTATGCTGTTTTTTTTATACATCTGCATGAGTCCAGAAACAACATGTAGAATTGATTTGGGCGTGTGCTTTTCCGTGTATGTGTGTGGTGCCATGCTGTATTTAATCCTGCACCTTGCTTGTTTAACCCTACCCTGTTTTTGAGATGCATTTTAAATGTTTTCTTGGGCGATGAGCAATTAATCTTTTCAGTATCAAATAAGAAGCGGCCCCGTTCTCTTTCTAATTCAGAATGTGGATGCTCCAGAGCTTTTTCTATATTACTTTGGCGTCTTTTGAAGAAAAGCTGTACATACATCAGAATTTAATCTGTATGTATTTGTACCCTCTCATGAATTTGAGTGCCCGAAAATTTTCTAATGCTTGTTCAGTGGGGTAGGGGGTAGGTGGACTAAGGACGTGAAAAGATAAGAAAGGTATCTCCATGGTGTTAAGGTCAGCGCCTTCTACGACTGAGTACTTAAACTCATTCATAGATCAGGCCTTTCCCGCTGAACTTCAGGAGTTAGCCAGTTAGGGGGAATTAGCTCTCTTATAGCACTGAACTAGAAAGTAATCACCCACAATATGTGAATTGATTCCATATTGTTAGGTCGTAGCTTGCAACTTAGAGCATGGGAGGGCCCAGCCAACCTCTCTCTCGCCTCAATGACTTGAGTCATTGCTGAATTTCTAATGCTCCTTTAACTGACTGTACCCTTAGAACTGGAACGAGGGGTTGTAGAGGACTTCTTCAGCGTTTTAGTAACCCCTGAAGCATGCAAGTACTATGAAATGCAGGACAGCAGGTCTGCTTCCAAGTAGCACTTACAAACTTCCCTTTGGTGCCTTCATTACCGAGGAAGGGCCTTACGCTGCTGCTATTTTTCAGAAACAGAAACCACTCACGCTAGCTGTCTTATTTGCTTTCTCCCAGGAAACACAGCAAGATTCATTCCATCAGGAGCTTTGCTTCACAGCCCACAGAACCGAACTCAGAAGTGCCAAAACAAGTCAGTATTGGTGATGTACTGTCATAACTCCGTTTTTCATAAAGCTTCTGCTGCTGAGCACTGTGCTTCATAGTCTGCTTTCCAGTTCTTTGTACTTTACCTTTGGGGATATTTGCAGATGGGGGTCGTGTTGCATGCCCTGGCTTTGACCAGACCTGGGTTCTGTGCTCTGTGCCCACCGGCCTGGGCTCGGCAGGCCCGGGAGTGCGTCCAGTTCTGCAGCTGACTTCTAGCCACAGTTCAATTGGGTGCCATCTAACCCAGCTTGTGGGGAGCCATCAATGGGAGCCCGCAGGGCTGAGCCTGCCCTTTGCAGCAGACGGGCGTAGCTCCAGGTTGCTGCAGGCCAGGACCCCTAGCCGGCGTGGAAACGGCCAGTGAGTTCTAGGATCTGTGTCACCGAGCAGTGACCACTGCCGGCAGCAAGAGACGTTCTTGCTCTTGCTGTGAGGGATGCGAGAGCTCGTTTTCTCTGGAGCTGGTTTCTGGGTGCGTTTTCAGGGTTTTCTCTAAGAGTGAGTAACAGCTCTGTTAGGGAAGGACATGGAAGAGAGTTCATTGTGTGAATTAAAAAATAAGGCCGTAACCTGTCCGTTTTACCTTTAGAAGTATAAGCGAACAAGCTTTGCATCTTTTTTCTTAAATTTGTGTCAGCTTGTTCCTAGAGATCTATGATTTTTCCTCCTTTTGGTGACCACGCTTGCTTTTGAAGCCCCCTTTGGTCTAGAAGGGCTCTCTTGTTCCACAGAAGCTTGTGAAACTCTATGGAATCGTGGGCCCCACAAAGCAGAGACAGCACCCAACCTGTGCTGCTGGGCACCCGGCGTTGTTAGCATCCACGCTGTGGAAGAACTTTCTGGACGATGACCAAATGCGCTTTTATGCACGCATATTATCCTGTTAGCACTGCACTGGGCAGCTTGTACTTGGCAGTCCTTCCAGCCGCCGCAGGCTCAAGATGTTATTGCATTAGACTCTGACTGCTTTTTTTCCCACAGCTCTGGTCTAACCATCTCCCTTTTCTCTTCGTCTCCCTTCATCCCTTTCTCTCCCCGCCCCATCCAGTCTCCGCAGAGCACCGGCCTTACCTATGGAGAAGGTGCTGAACCGCCAGGTGGCCACAGCTGCCAGCAAGGAAGGGAACTGAAAGTTTCAGCCGAAGAGCCTGGGCCACAGCAAAGTCCTTCTCTGCAGAAGAGCCCACTGGGTAACAAGAAGGCAGATGGAGCCGTGACGGTGATGGTGGAGGAGGAGGAGGAGGAGGTCGTTAAGGATAGGACCCTGCAGAGTAAACCTCCGCCTCTGCAGCCAAGCACAGGTCCAGCATCCAGGGCTGCGGGAGGCAGCAGCGCTTCCATCCCTTTCATTGACTGCAGTGATGTAGATAGTGAATACGATCTTCTCAGAGAACAAGTGTCCCAGTCACGGTCCCAAACAAATGACAATTATGAGGGTGATTTGACCAGTGGTGTGTATCTGCTTTCCAGGGATGAGAGGCAGACAGAGGCTAGGCACAGGGCTTCCCTTCATTCTGTAAAGTCTTCCCGGCCTCCCTCCAGAGAATTCATTGATGACGATTCAGCAGACATAACCTTTGATATCAGTGGGAGCCCCAGACTCCCAAGACATAGCTCTCTAATAGACGAAATGTTCAGGGGCTCGGGTGGTCACAGCCCCCTGGCCAGCCCATTGTCTCCCAGCAGCAGAAGTTCAAGTCCAGGTATGAGCTGGGATAGGACTGGCTCTCAAGGGTATGTCTCCGAAAATGGACGTGACGGTAGAGAGAAAGGTGCAGGAGAAGGTACACTCCCAACCCGGGGTCCTCATCATGAAGACTGCTCCCCTGTCTTGCAAAGGCCGTACTTGCGGAAACTTCCTAGTAGATACAATAAGTCAGAGACAGATCCGCTCATCCTTAGCAAGGTCATGTCAACCCCAGAGGAAATAGATAAGCTGGATGGTCATGGAAAGGGAGGACCGGCCAGCATGGCTGCTTCAGGACGTAGACTGCTGGCTAATGGCTCCCCTCTCATGGGATCCACCACTAAGATCCCCGTCACACAGCCAGTGCATACCAGCAGCGTGGGGGACCAGCTGGCTCCCCTACAAGTGACTGAGGGCTCCACCAGCAGTGGGACTGAATCCAGTGATTCAGACCCGGAACTGGTGAATTCCTCCAGCCAGCCCCTGATGTTTGGTGACCCAGCAGTGCGCAGTTCCCCTTCCATGCCTCCAAGTAAGAAGCCCTTGGGCGGCCGGCGTTTGCGTGAGGAAAGGGAGGAGGAGGAGGATGAGTGAAGAGGTTAGGAGGTCCTGAGTCCAGGGTTGCAGTGGAGATGGTCTGTTCTCATGGCTCGTTGATTTTTAATCAATAATTCTTAGAGGAAATTTTGGACGGGTACATGTTTGGTTAGGGTATGCTGCCTTCTGAAATCTTTAAGAGAAGCAAAACTTCACACAGTGGCTTGCTTTCCCAAAAAAAAAAAAAAAGTGGACAGGAGAATCTGCAAGTCATGTTGACAAGTTATCAGGAGTTTGTATATCTGACTGGTGAAGGTTAGGAAGAAGCAGCTGATTATGAGTGTGATCACGTGTACAGTGTGTTACATGTACGTGGACATTGTCTGTGTTCAGCTGTGCATGCACGTCACCCTCCTGTTGTTTGAGTGTTGGGGCTGAAGTGTCATTGAGATTGCAGGAACGGTGTTGATTTTACTTCTTCCCCCTTCTTTAAAAGGAGGGCTTAGTCTCCGTGCCTACGAAAGTGAGGAACTGACAAAATTCATGGCCAAATGTAAGCTTACTGCTAGTCGAGATCGAGTGTTGGTGAAATCTTAGACGAGAATAATGAATAATGGGAAGGATTCGGGATTATTTCTGCTGTCCAGACTTTATTTGAAATGCTGTAGAAGTCATCAAGTCTTCTTGAACTTTACTTTAAATGGGTTTGCATTGGTCAATCAGATTGTTAGTTCTGTTTTCAGAAGTCCTAACTCTGGCTCTCAGAATCCTTTGGTGAAACATGTGCTGCTGAGTGATGAGGAAGGGAACAGTCCTACCGTGCAGCGGGCACAGTTGTCACCAGGAGGTCAGCGGACTAAGTGCCTGTCTTTGAATCATGCACAACACAAAGAAGGATCAATTTCCAGTCTCCTCGCCCTTGGATGGTTTAGATGCCCGTGTTTACCGCTCACACTCTCGTGAACTGTGTACACTCTTGGGAACAATGACTTCTGGATGTTTCTCTGAGCAAGCAGGGAAAAAGGAAGCAGAAGGAATAACTGGTTTGACTTCTTTTTCAATCTTGCTCACGTGTGCCAGTACCTTTCACTCAGCATTCCTGTTTTTTAGATTAAAGAGCCAGGTTTTTACTTGCAGCGTTTCTCAACCTTAGCTGCACACTGGGATCATCTGGGACTTTTTTTTTAAAACAGTGATGCCAGGGCTGTGACCCCAGAGATTTTAATAGAGTCAGTCTAGGGTGCCGCTTAAGCTCCAGATGATTCCAGTGGGCAGCCAAGCTCACTTCTCTGCCAGACCTACCTGCCTTCTAGAATCTAGTGGAGTGTGTTAAATGAAGGTGTTAGCTAAATGAGTGGTTTGCTTGCAGAGTAAGAAAAGCATCACAAATGAAATGCTTTCCTTAATGTTTGTTCTTTGGCACTTTGCAGTCTTTGGTACTTTTCAAGATAAATTGTATAGTAAAATTTGTAGATCTCCGTAACTACAAAATTGTTGACAGGAGTTGTAACTGTGGTACGTCTCTGCCGTGCTGCCATGCCAGTGGCCTTACTAGACTCATCCTATGACTTGGTCACAGGAAGAGCCAAGCAGGCTTCTGAAACTGAGTAGAGTTTGGCAGCAAGGACGTAACAAATACAAGTATTGACTGACCTTGTGACTCACGAATGATTATCTGTCCACGTGAATGTCGAGAAGTCTGTTTTAAAGATTCTGAAGACTTAATCCATTTTCATGATTCAGTGCATGATTGATGAATCAAACTGATTATTGACTAGTTGGAAAGATGTTCGTTGAAGTAGTCTATTTGTATCTTGCTTTAGATTTATCTATTTAACGTAATCATTGAATTTTAAAATTCTAAGGGCCCTTAGAGATCATCTAGGGCAAACCTTCATTTTACGGATGAGGAGACTTGGTCTGGGACAGCTGAGGGATTTCACACAGTCATAGCAGCCACGGCCCAACAAAGCTGGAACCAGAACCCTGGTGTCCAGACTAGCTTATTACACTGTGTGACATCTTGGAGTAGAAGGACCTTTGTGATTCAATATCCTAATTTTGGAGAGTCTTATGGATTAATAATAGTCAGATTTGGAGACCAAGGATCCTGTCGACTTGACTTGGGCAATCACAAACCCGTAGTACGTGGTATGAACCCCTGCTTTTTGTAGTGTGGGAGTTTTGAAGTTATAACACGTGTTTGCATATTCTGTTTGGGACTTACATGTGAATTGCTTTGCTATATAAAAATTTAGTCAAATGTGAGTTAAGCAGAGTCAGTTTGGAATCCTGTGGTTTAATTGTGTAGGTGGTTGGTTCCAATGAGTTTTCTTTTTGCCTCTGATTATACAGCAGCCTGATAATGAAATCAGAGTGAACAATAGGTATTAACTTGCCTAGCATATGATGCAAATCATCAGAGAAAAACCTCTAAAGCAAAACATCCCGCAGTAATTACTCCGCTTTGCTTTTTCCTAAAGAGGCGATTTCATCTAAAGTGTTTTAAAAGCAGCTGATGAATGGAGGCGTACTTATTTCTATATTGACAAGATTATCCACTCTTACGGTTGCTCATGGGGTTTTTCTCACTGATTTTGTACACCCATCAAGCAACTCTATCTCTACTTCTTGGCCATTATTTATGAAAGCAACAATCCTGATGTAACCCTGGTAGCACAGTGGTTAAGTGTTACAGCTGCTAACCAGAAGGTCGGCCATGTGAATCCACCAGGCGCTCCTTGGAAACTCTTTGGGGCAGTTCTAGTCTGTCCTATAGGGTTGCTATGAGTCAGAATCGACCCGATGGGAGCAGGTTTGGTTTATTTTTTAAGGTAGAGGAGCTATAGTTTGCTTACGAGTCCCTGGGTGGTGCAAACAGTTAACACACTCAGCTGCTAACAGAAAGGTTGGAGTTTCAGGTCCACCCAGAAGCACCTCAGAAGAAAGACCTGGTGATCTACTTCCAAAAAATCAGCCATTGAAAACCCAGTGGAGCACAGTTCTACTCTGACACACGTTGGGTAGCCATGAGTCGGAATTGACTCGACAGCCACCAGTAAGCAGTATACTTTGTTCAAAAGTCACATATCCTGATGTGCAGAGAATGTTCACTAATTGCTTCCAGGGGAGCTTGATTCCAGAACATGGGGTCAGAGAGTAAACTATTTAAGATCCTTTGAGCCTGGTGGAGCAAGTTAGCCTCGTGTTGTGCAGAGCTCGGGAAAAGCCACAGCCTCTACCATTCCACCTTCCACATTGTCTGACTTTTGCAAGACTCCTGTCCCCAAGTCTTGGGCCTCTGAAGCCTCACTGTGTGGCATAAGAAGGGCACGTACGTGCGTAAAACTGAACTAAGATAGGGGAAAACAATGGTTGGGTTGAGTGTGATTAATAGGCAGCAGAGATTAGAGACCTATGAATTTATTCAGATTTCCAGCGTGGCTTCTCAAGACCTGTCAACCAGTCTTTCTAAGGCAACAGCTGCTCTGAAGGCCTGCTGAATCAACAAGGAAAACAGACCTTCAGATCATGGGATTTCTGTGCCTGGTCAGTGGAATGATGTCTTAAGGTCAGGGGTATAAGACAAAAGCCACGTCTAGAAACAGAAATCTTGAAGCCACTCGGGGCTAGTAAAGGGCCTCCTGGCATTAATCTGTTCTTCTTTCTTTTGCTGGGTATTATTTCAGAATATGTAAATTCTAGGCCCTGTTGTTGCTTTTGCTGCTGCTTATTTTTAAGGACAAAATAAGTACGCAAGAAATTCTTTTAGAATGAAGAAATTCGTTTAATGAGTTCCAGAACTTAAAATGAATTGCTTCAGCTCCTTTGACAGCCATCTGTATGCCATTGACAATTTTTATTAGACAGGCATTTAATTAAAGGAAGTCTGTGGGCCAGATTTCTTCCCCACATATGTGATTCATGTGGGGAATTTCTCACAAATTTATCTTACCAAATTGTGCTGTATGACCTGCTCTTAAAATGTAATTCCAATTTTATTCTCAAGAACTTCTTTGAAGATTCAAACCAAGTAATGCTAAAAAAGCGAGACTTGCAAAACTTAAAAAACAGTCTGAGCCTGTCAAAATTTTCACCAAGCATACAAAATCCAGTCTGTTCTGAATTTGAATCAGATACTTGCCTATTAGTCCTGACATCATTTTGATCGGGTTGTCAAGCAATTGGTAAAGGAAGAAAAGAAAAGTTGAGGTGTCATTTTAAATGTAGTTCAACCTTGTCAATGTGCATACAAATCGCCTTTCCGTATCTATAATCAATGTTCATAGGCTTTTAATCATTAAAACAATACCCATATTTCAATACAAAATAGGCTTGGAGGAGCGGCAGCCGTTGGCCAGTAATTGGGTTACAGGTGGACCCAGCCTTAAATTAAGCAATCTGTGACTTCCGTAACCATCAGGATTGTTTTGAGTGTATTTTCTTCTGTCTTGATCACTCCTGCGCCCGTGTTCAGAT